AGGATTGGAACCCCCAAGGTTTTAACCCGGGACCTTTGGTCATTGAGTTCAATACTCTACCACGGCACCACAGGCTCCTTGCTTTGTCTGCCCTTGCCATTGTCTTAGCCCGCTTTTAAATCCTGTTTTTGCCATCTGAAGTGCAGGAAACTCCTTGTACCGAAGACTTGCTACAGGTTAATTTTGCCAGACTGTTCGAATGTCCGCGTTTTAAGGTCATTAAGCAGTTGACCAAATGAGACGACTACCACCAGATTCTATAAGAAGCTAACCGTTTTTGTTGATGGTTATTAACCGTTATAGTGCTAATATTCCAGGTTTAAATAAGGGATGTTAAGGCCTTAATTCGGTTGACATCCATCCCCTGTCACTAGACTTTGTTTTTAAGGTTAAAGCGTCGAGTCTCTTTTTATATTTTTTGCTTCCAACCACTTGGATTTTTGGCGCGCTATCGAACTTTTTGGAAGACCCCTTATAAGCGCATTTAGCGATTGTCCTCCGTGGAACTTTACTACTGATATTTCAAAGCTGCAGGTTTACAAATTTATTTTACTAACGCTGTGTTTTTTTTTCTGCAGGGCTCCTCCAAACCCTCGTCTTTGGGTCGGAAGCAGAAATCAAAGAAGCGGTAACGCTAAGTCTCCCCGCTGTTTTGTCCTCAGAGAAAACACTCCCTATCTTCTTCTTCGTCCGGTTTCTACCACCAGGTGCACTCTCGAAGGCACTATTCCTACGCTGCAGGGACGAAGTCGCCTTTGTGTTGAAACTTCCACCAACGCGTGTGTATACACACGCCCGCCGACAAGCTCCTTTCAGTCCTCTGTAAACCCTATCAAACCTCAATGAAGTTGCTCAGCGGGGATTGTTTTTCTTATTGGCGTCTTTTTTTAGGGCTAAGCGAACTTCAACTGCAGTTGTGCATATGGGTCATCGGTATTCTGGTGATTACGAGACTATGAAGTGTTAGTAGGGAAAGTGGATACCCGATGCATTGGGACACGAATTTGACCGCGGTTGGAATTATTTTCACTGTCCGCTTTATTGTGAGGACATGCGAAGTCAATCCGTTGGAAGCAAATATGTACTTGCTTAGAATCCATGCATGTTGCCCCCTGGAAGTTTAGCCAGAAAGAATAGGTTTTGAGTTATCGGTTAGGGAGGTTTCGGTTGTTT